CGCATTTTTATTTTTGTGAGTCACGCAGTTGTTTGCATTCTGCTAGACCATATTGGTTTCCCCATCTAATTGAGGTCTCGCAGGTTAATGTGGTAAGTCTGCTCCGTCCTTCCTCCCTCTGGTGTCACGTTTTCACCTCGCTAAACTCCAAGTCCTCCCCGTCTGGAATGACTCCATCCTGGAGTCGACAAAGCATGAAATGGGGAGGATCGAGCACAGCAGCCGAGGGACTTATTTCCTCCGAGAAAGGCGCACGTAGATTTCCATTCCCAAGTTTGCACTGTCACAAGCTCTTTGTGTCACTCTTTAGCAGTTTATTTTGCTGCATTAACTCCTCGAGGAGGACGACGTAAAAAGTCAACAGCTTGTAAAATGAGGGAACTCACTTAGGGTATTTTTAGCACAAGATAATAAGTCAAATATACATTTTATTATTACTTGTTATTGCAATAGGACCACACTATAGATAAAGTAATTTGTATATGAAGACGTAGCTTAGAATTATATAATTGTTCCACTTAATCCTAAATTCAATGTTTATTTTCATACTTCTGGACCAAATTTGATGCAAACTGATAATTTATGTTTAACTCACAATATTTTGCACCCGATTTTTAGTGTAAAATTTTATTTTATACTAAAGAAATACTACTATATTTACAATACTATAGCAGTCAATACAATACGATATAGACGATGCTAAAAAAACACTTTTTTATTATATTATTCATTCAGTTAGTTAAAATGTGAGAAAAATAAAATCGGGTACGACAAAAAACAAATATTAATTCATCACTATGTGGATATTTTTACTACTGTAGTCCTGTTCACATCTTTAAGCAATCTGTGGTTATAATTAGAGCCTGACCGATATATCGGTAGGGACGATATATCGGTAGGGACGATATATCGCTGCTACCGATATATCGGTCAGGCTCTAGTTCTTGTATGTTTATTACTGCAGTAATCAATACATTATTTAAAATAAAAATGGAAATATTTAAATATTGTGACAAACATTTAATGCCTTTAAGTAAATTATTCTGAAAATGTTCATTAAATATTCTGCAAACACTTTAAGAAGCTTGTGTAAACAGTTTTATCCACATAATTTTGAACTTTTAATCAACTTTTCTAAACTATCTAAGATTACCGAAGTCTTTTTTTATTAAGACACATTTTTTTAAATACAACCACTTGTTGCTTTAAGCAGCGTGTACCTCACAGAATAAACTCCTGAAATGATTTAGTGTTACACTCTGTCAATAAAAATAAATTACAGCAGAGGAGCTGACACTTTTTATCAAACTGTAATGGTGGAAAAGACGATGTTTGTTTTATCTTTAACTATTTTTTGTAGACGAAACAGAATAAATTGGAACAAACCATGTTTTAAACGAGCTGCATTGAAAAAGTATTTGGATTATTATTATAATTTTTTCTAAGTTGCCAGTAGACCTCATGGCGTATTACTTGATAAGCCATTATTATTATTTTTGAAACATTTTCATATTTTGTAAGTTTGTGTTGCGTGGTTTATCAAAAGATGATTTAGCACATTCATTTATGTTTATTTACAAGGTCTTGGCTAAAAGTGATTGATAAAGAAAAACTTTGCGAGACATTTGTAAACCTTGACTTAAAGTCAAGACCACTTTAAAACGTTACATAAACGCTTGTTGTCCTACATGATAAAATAAAAATAAAAGTCTTTGTTCTTCACCGTCTCTTAAAATCTTCTGCTCTTACTTCCTTTTGGTCACTCCAGCATGAAATGTTTCTTTGTTAGAGAATTATCTTTAAAAAAAGTCATCTGGTAATTATAAACTGTTCTTAGTAATCAAAGCAGTTTAAAAGAATGAGAAAAACATATTAAATAAATGTTGCATATTCTATGTTTGTTTCCTTGCTAATAAATGGTAAATCAAATTAAATTCCTGAATTAATTGATTAAAATTAATTGATTAATAGATATCAGTAACTTTTTGTCAGATTTCAAAAATAATTGGTTCTTGACTTATGATAAAATCAAATAGTTATATTCAGATCAAACTGCCACAGTTTATTATGGTTACAAGCTACTTTTTTCATTAAGTTGTTTTTTCCTCTATTATTTATTTATTACCACCTAATCTGTAAATAATAATAATAATAATTATGCAAGAATCAAACAAGTGACTGTGCATGCAAATTAATGAAAGTAGTGCTTCTAATCTTTATTAAACCTGGGATTAATTTAAGTTATTTAGATTTGTGTCAATCAATGGTTTAATAACTCATTGTTGCATTCTTTGTATTAACCTTTTTAATGACTTGAAGGAAAACTATTTCTCTATTTCCCTCGGCCTCTTTGCAGCATTGCTGAGTATTGAGGCAACTTTAAACCCACTCATTAGGTTGTCTTTTAAAAATATCTCTAACCCTCTTTGTTCTTTAAAGAAAGAGGAAACGGACGCATTATTCAATTCCAAATTTTAAAGATCAAACAAACAGAAGTTGCAAAGGCTGATTGTTTTTTTTGTTACACCTCATGTCGCAGCAGAAACTGGGGATTTAAAGTCAAATTGAGTTCAGCGGTTGCTTCTGCGCCGTCCAACACTTAGACCTGTGCGGCGTACAGTGGTCCCATGGTTGGGAGGGAAGATGCTGATTGGACGACATCAGATGGCCTCTGTCCTCCCACGCAACCTCCTCAGATCTCAACATAAACCACTTTTACTTAATGAATGGTAAAAAAAAAAAACCACATTGCTGAGATTGAACCAGGACACCTCAATTAAAACTTCAAACAAGACTCACGAGCGTTATTCACGGTGAATATTAGATTGAGGGCAGATTTCTTCATCCCCCGTTCACTCTGAAGGAGGAAATTTTAGCTCCGACAGCAAAACATCACATGTAAACGAGTGATGTGAAAAACTCTGCAACATATTTCCAACCTATAGCTTTGCTTTATTTTGTGGTAGAATAGTCATAAAGTGTGAAACTTTATTCATATAGCATCTTTCATATATAAATCACAAAGTGCTCTACAGAAAATACAGAACACAGGCTTAATATAATAAAAACAGTAAGAACAGCTGATGTAGAGCATTTAACTAAAAGCTTGTTTGAATAAAAATGTCTTAAGCTGCTTTTTAAGGGAATCAACAGAGATGACCACAGGGCAGAGCATTCCACAGCCTGGGGGCTACGGCCTGAAAGGATAGGTCACCCCGAGTTTTAAACTGAGTCTTCGGGACCTTTAGGAGGTTCAGCGCCGAAGATCGAAAGGTGCGGGCTGAAGAATAAGGAATGAACATTTCAGCTAGCTTGTGTAATTCTGAATCATAGAAGGAACAGTACAGTTGAATGTCATCAGCATACAGATGGCAAGACACCTTATTAAAGCTGCTGATGATCTTTCTGGGGGCTGATCTATAAAAGGAACAAAATAGGACCTAAGACTGAACCCTGCGGAACACCATACAATAATGAAGTGATCCTAGAATGTATGTTATTTGCACACATGGAAAAGGTTCTGTTGCTCAGACAGGAGGAAAAGCACTTAATTCAAAATTCAAAATACTTTATTAATCCCAAAGGGGAATTAAATGTTGTAGCTCATCATCCTTAACCGTTCCAGAAATTCCCAACTCATTTTCATTCTATGTAGCAGAAGTTTGTGGTTGACTTTGTCAAAAGCTGATGACGGATCCAATAAAGTCACTGCATTGAGCAGAGTCTGCAACTGTCAATATATCATTAGATAAAGATTGTAAACAGCTTTCCAATAAATTATTGTAAGAAATCCGATATAAAAATGCTAAAATAGTGTCATACATTTTGTAAGACACACAGACACTAAATTGTTTTATTGTTGTTGTTGTTGGTTTGTTTAAAATATTACGCATCGTTTGAGCTTCGGTATAGTTGCCATGGTAACAATGGTGACTATAATGTAATTTTCAATTTAAACCTTTATTTTACCAGGAAGTAAATCCACTGAGATTATTAATCTCTTTTACATGGATGTCCTGTCAAACCATTACATTTACAGCAACAGTCTTTACAACAGTAACAGTAAAATTAAAATATTTACAACAAAACATCTGATAATAAGACATAAAATACAATGCAAGTTTTTATTTTTTTTTAAATCACAATTTAAGACACTTAAACATCACAGGTGCAAGATGGGTCTAAAACTGGCAGTTTTTTTTTTTTGTTAAACTATATAAATGAATAAAATACTCCAACAAAATGAGCAATAACTTAATAATAAAAAGTAATACCTTAGCTTGCAGCATATTACCTTGTTTCTCGTAGGGGTTAAAGTGGTCGTAATTTGAACAATGTGCATCACAGACATGAAATAATTTAAAATAATGCTTTTAGGAAAAGTCATAACCAGGGGTGTTCAACTAAACTGCTCAGGGGGCCACAGTTACTGAAAGCCACGAGCTCAGGGGCCACACATCCAGAAGTTGTTGTCATTATATAAGTTTGTTTTATGGTTTAAAGTGGAGTTCTATTTCAAATGAACCCATTGGTGGACCGAACTGAGTTCATCCGTGGGCCTGATTTGGCCCCTGAGCCGTCAGTTGACCAGCCCCGTCATCGACTCTTAAGATGTTCGGAGTTAATAAATTCCATAAATTAGAAGCTAAGATGCTCGGGGTGTAAATTCACCTCCAGTGTTAAAGCTGTTGTTTAAAGAAGTTGCAGAGGCAGGACTGACAGCATGACGAGCAGAGGGGACTCCTCTCCACAGCAACTGTCTGTGTCTCTGCTGGCTGCTGGTCTAATTAAAGGTCACTTAGCTCGCTGGGTGCCAAAACAATATCAACAGATTAAAGGGAAATGCCACTTGAACAGCACAACACTTGGGAGGTTTGCCACATGGTGATTTGTCGCCTTGCTTCGAACGCTAAACATCAAGAAAACCCATTTCACTCCTCAGGAACGCTCGTTTGGCAAAGTTTAGTTTCTTTATCTTAACTCTGCTCGTTTTTCTCCAGCGAGCATGACTTGGGCGAGGACGACATCTACGACTGCGTGCCGTGCGATGACGATGGCGACGACATCTATGAGGACATCATTAAGGTGGAAGTACGACAACCCATGGTGAGATCTTTGTACTGAAGCATCATCTGTCTCAGCCACGTGCCAGATTACAAATGTCCTGTGTGCATGTGTGTCACCGAAGAATAGTTTTGCTGTGGATCATCTTTTTTTTTTGTTTTGCTGTACACTGAAAACATTTGGCAGTAAACATAAATATGAGACAAGATCATAATAAAATCAGCTGTTGAATATACGGTAGATATTTACATTCAGATCTTTAAAAAAAAGGTAGAAATTGCACATTTATGTGTAAAATAAGCCATTTTTAGTTAATCAAATTCATCAATAATAAGTTTACCAGCTGTTTTTGCTGCTGGGCTGAAATTCACTACTGAAATCGCCAAGGTGTTCACTACAATAAAAAGAAATACATTTAAACTGTCCATTTCAATTCCCTGTAATGTACTTTTCTTGATAAGGTTGAAATTGAAACAAAAACCACACAAACATTAAATGAATAAAGAGGTGGTGAGTGTTACAAAAAAAGAAACCTAATTTGCTGTGTTTTATTTTAAGTGTAGACTCAAATTTATTTTAGTGACTAGAAATAAAAGCTCAACATTGGATCTCTGGTCTCATATTCATTGTTTGATGTAAAACCAACATGTTCACCTGCTGAGGCCAGTGAAGCTAACATTACCATGTCGCTGCTAATTCTGTAACATAAGCTGAAGCACAAGCCAAAATAACAGGGTAGGTGGATTCATCCAAAATAATGTTAATAAATATTTTTGCACAAATAAATATAAATTAAAATGCAAAGTTTGTTTTCTCAGTCATCCAGGTATATAACAATACCTGGATGACTGAGAAAACAAACTTTGTGTTTTTGAAACCATTAGTGAAAAGGCCAGACTTCAGGGGTATCTGAGGCAGGCTTGAAACACAAGAGTCAGGGTGGCTTCTGGGTAATACCAGATGGCTAGGCCTCAGACTGATGAAGCCTCTTGGACGAGGGGCGAAACGTTTCTTTTTAACAAAAAAACGAAGTCCAGATGACATAAATTAAAATGGTATTTTTTTATCTGTCTACTTTCATTATTGAGTTGAAAAAATTCCAAAACAGCAAAACTATTAAAAAAATATGTCTAATAAATAATGTCACCACCGTCTCATGACTGCCAGCCATGTTTTTGCCTCTCTGGGCTGTGTGTGCGTCTTATAATGTTTGGAAGAAAGAAAGAAGCCATCCTTCCATCTATCCATCCATCATCTTAGGCTTAGTATGGCTGTTAGCAACCATGAAGCTAAGCTAATCAGCTTATGCATAAACATCCATCCATCCATCATCCTCCACCTGTTCCAAAGTCGGGTCGTGGGGGGCAGCAGCTTGAGCAGGGAGGTCCAGACATCTCTTTCCACAGCCACCTCTTCTGGGAGGACTCCAAGGCGTTCCCATGCCAACCGAGAGACGTAGTCTCCCCAGTGTGTCCTGGGTCTTTCCCAGGGTCTCCTCCCTGTAGAGTTGCACTCGGGTCCAAAAAATCTGATCCAAACCAGCCTGCAGCCATCAGCTCCGAACCCCACCCGATCCGACAAATTAACAGTAATTACAGGTCCAACCCCCACAAGAAACACAATTTTTAATTAAGCTTTGACTGCTTATACCACCGACTATTATTAATAGTCAGCGGATGTGTGCGGCTGTGTAAAGGGCGAAGATTGGAGCTGAGGAGCAGTCAAAGCGCATTAAATGCTTCTCCTGCTTCTGCCTGCATTGGACCCTGCTCTGACATGTCGGATATTTTGTGATCTCACCTGTTTGGATTGTCAACCGCCTGCGTCCGCTGAGTGCCTACATCCATTTGGGCTGATGGATCGCTGGCAGTAGTTCAGCTGAAGCTTAAATGAACATTTTACCTCTTTCAACTGGCTGGTCAGCATGCGGTGAAATGGCCGCATGCAGCATGTGATTGTATGGCAAGCCATGTTGACATATAATTGGATCGTCGGCCTTGCGCGTCCTTGACGCAGGGCACTGACCCGGCCTGCACTTTAAGCACATTATTATGACCTGGCCTTTTCCAAATCCGGGTCGTGTGGGGCTGGGCTGAGGTTCAGGTTAGAAATGACAGTTCTACCTCCCAGTCGGACGTGCCTGAAGCACCTCCCTAGGGAGACGCGCAGGAAACAACCTTACCAGACACCCGAACAACCTCAACTGGCTCCTTTCGATGTGGAGGAGCAGTGGTTCTACTCCAAGTCTCCCAGATAACTGAACTCCTCACCCTATCTCTAAAGGAGAGTCCAGCTACTCTGTAGAGGAAACTCATTTCAATTGTCTGTATCCGCAATCTCATTCTTTCAGTCACTACACAGAGTTCATGACCATAGGTAAGGGTAGGAACATGGACTGACAGTAAACGGAGAGCTTTGCCTTAAAGCTTTGCTCCCTCTTCATTTCAACGAACTGGCACAGAGTCCACAACACTGCAGACACTGCACCAATCCATCAGTCAATCTTGTGCCCCATTCTTCCCTCACTCGTGAACCCTGAGGTACTTGAACTCCTTCACATGAGGCAGAACCTCACCCTCGACCTGAAGAGAGCAATCCACCTTCTCCGACTGAGGACCATGGCCTCAGATTTGAAGGGGCTGATTTGCATCCCAGCTGCTTCACATTCGGCTGCAAACCGCTCCAGTGAGGGCTGATGGTCACGGCACAATGATGCCCTCATGCCCTCATCATCTGCAAAGAGCTGAAATGGAATCTTGAGGCCACTGAACTGGAATCCCTCCACCTAATGGCTGCACCGAGAAATTGTCCATAAAAGTTATGAACAGAATCTGTGACAACGGGCAGCCCTGGCGGAGTCCAACTCCCACCCTGAAGGGGTCCGACTTACTGCCGGCAATGTGAACCAAACTCTTGCACCGCTTGTATAGGGACCGAACAGCCCGTAGCTACTGACCCCCAATCCCATACTCACGGAAACCCATCCATTAAATTTTCCATAAACTGATATGATTTTTTTTGTCATTATTTATTCATACCATGAAAGTAAAATTAGTTATTGCATTATGAAAATGCAATAAACGGAAAGTGCTTGAGAAATCATGTCTTTAGCTGCTTTTGTCATGTTTATCTTCTTGGACATGAACACGCCTCCACTAAGTGCTTATTTAAACTTTTTCTTGCTTTGCTCTCCTCATGCTGCAGATCAGATACATGCAGGTGAGTGCTGCTGTGTTTGTGACTCACAACACAACTCCCCTCATCGCTTCATTTCAAACATTTCAAAGGGACTGACCTGCCACTTAGCTTAGTGACCCATGCATGGTGGCGGCGGAGACCCCATCTGGTCCGAAGTGTGACTCACGGCTCGTGACTTCATCTCCATGTCTGCAGTGTTAAGTGATGTCTAACACCACCATCTGCTACGACCAACTCTGTTGTGTTGGCGTTGTGCTCCACTTCTCGTTTTGTTCTTCAATAATTACACGCTGGAGTAAAGCCGGAACACGACTGGGGAGGTTTTACATTGTTTGCGCCAGTTTTTGTCTAATCCACGCTTGTAATTTGAGCCAAATCTGCTACAGATGGCTAACTTACTGAATCTGTAGTTGAGATGCTTTCTTTTGTGTCACAACATAGAAAATATATGACATTAAAAGCCTTTATGCCCCAAGGTGCTTTTTGTTTTCACAAAAACAGTGCACATAGTGCAAAAAGAACATATAAACACATTTTATCTTGCCCTGTTTCTATTTTACACCTAAAATATGTGTCAACACAGTCACTATAGTTTAGTTTATTTAATTAATATTATCATTATTATGAATAAGAAACTGAAACTGGAATGTTCCTGGAGAAACTTTGACGGGAACTGCCACGTGGCGTTCATTTAAAAATTTTGATTTGACAGTATTATGTTTTAGGGTTTGCTCTCGGCTACCATCATGCCAAATGTCAGCTCAAATTTGCAAAATATAAACTTGCTACAGTCATTTGTTATTTTAAGCTATGGTGGCCATCTTGGATTTTTGATTTGGATTCAGTATGTGATGGGGAACATTCTCTGCTATAACCTCACCAGATTTCAGCTCTGTGTAAAAATATCTGCGTTAAAGCAATTTAAATTGAGCTTTGGCAGCCATCTTTAATTAATTTATTTATTATTTATTATTTATTGGGCTACCACCACACCAAATTTCAGCTTAATTGCTCTAAAAATGGCCGATTTACTTTTTTCTTTTTAGCTCAGGCAGCCATCTTGGATATTTGATTTGCAACCAGTCGTATGAAAAAATTACTAATAAAAATTGTGCGCTTGTTTGCAAATTACGTCGCCATGGTAACTCAAAACACCAATAAAAGTTATAGCTCACATCACGGTTCAGAGCTGGTCGTTGTGATTTAACCTTTTTGGGAGTACATATTGCGGTTCAGGCCGCAGAGTATGATATACTGTAAATAACAACAAAAAAATTTATCTTGTCATCTTGACCAGTTTCTTCAAGTGAGAAACATTTCGTCCCCCATCCAGAGGACTTTGTCAGTCTACGGACTGCCAACCAAATATGTCCCATAGGTAGCCTTCATCTTCTGTAAGATATACTGTAAAGTTAAGAAACCCTTGTCTGGTGGATAATAATAGGTGACTGCCTTTCTAGGCAGTCCCCAACGACCACGTTATGAACGTATCAGGACCTATTTGAACGTCTAAATTAATTTATAAACAATAAAGGCCTTCACAGGCTGACTGTGTTCAGTTGTTTCCTACTGGAACTCTTTTTTGTTTGTGTGCTTTTACTTTAAATTCAGAACCAATCTTGCTGATTAAGCTTGAATTGTGTAATCAAGAGCTTTAGTCCTAAAGGTAACCAACAAACCAGCAGTCTTCCTACATTAGAGCACTCCCTTTGTTTGGCTGTGATGGCCAGATTATTTGTAGATTATTGCTAAATTGTGCAACATTCAGAACTTTTCGTTTGAGGATTATTAAAGGGATGATGGACATAAAATTAAGAACAAGATAACGGGTTTGAGCTTAGCCCAAAATTTTAATTCACTGCAACACATTAATATCAAATAATCCTCCCAACAGGAAGTCCCTGTTTTCATGTGTGTGTTAATAAGTTTCACTTGAATCATTATAAAAAAAATAAACCAAACCGTTAAATTAAATATGTGTCAAGCTTGTAGGAAAATTTAAGAAATGGTCCTGAAACAATCAATATATTAAGATGATGGAATAAATCATAAATCATGCCGAATGTTGAAGTTTGGATATGTTTTCTGAACATCCCTCTTCCCCTCACAACATGTTTTCCTCAATGTACCAACCTCGGATTCATTTGCAGTCGCTCTATTTATTTTGTTGAACACACACATACATGTCATGATGCACTAAAGCTCATTTACATGCATGCTTCTTTTATTTTCTTTTTAAAATCAATATTTTATTCATTTCCAGATGGCTTAAAAATCAAAGTCAATTAGCTAATCCAATGTAAATATTAATAGAAGTGTTGTTCTGATGAAACAATGTGTAACTGACTATTAAAACCTGCTATTCTGAGCAATCAGATGTGCACAGCAGTGTTTTTCTAAATATATAAACACATTTTCTTGTGTTTTTATCCTCATTGTAGAAAATGGGTATGACGGAAGACGACAAGAGAAACTGCTGCTTAGTCGAGATCCAGCAGACCGAAGCGAAGTACTACAAGACTTTGGAGGACATTGAGAAGGTGAGTTTAGGTTTGAGAACAAGCATGCATGTCGTTGACCTCGAACGTGGAGCGATGGTTTCCTTTTGCCACCTGTTTGCTGCCACGGTGTTATGTCTCGGCAAGGAAATGTCAAATATCGTCCGCATCATTTGGGAGCACAAATGTCACGAGAGCTGATCAATAAGGTAATTATTGGCTGGGCCCCAACGGGAGACTCTGATCCCTGGAGCTTTACGTGCACATTAAAGGTGACAAGTTGCCAAAAGAATAGCAGGAGGTATTTAATTTCTTAATATTGCAAAAGGAACTGAACTTATTGTTTTCTGAAAGATAAAAAACATCCCGAGTGTTTCTGCCCATCTAGATGTTAATGGCAGGAATGTTTCATCTCCTTGTTATTCATGGGGGAAGTAGAATTACAGATTTATTTCAGGTTAATTATGTCAACTTTGTGGAAAACAAATTACACAAAGTCAACATTTAAGTGAGCTGGGTTTAAAGATATAGTCTGATCATTTTTGAAGTGATCAAAAGTTCTGTATCAGGTGTGACATTAGTCATGGAGAACAGAGAAAACAAAAGGCCATATGTCTTCCTCCGGGCTAGGCTAATGACTAGCCAAATGCAAGTTCTTTTGAGGTTTATAAAACAATTCTTTCTCAAACACAACATACTTGTGTACCGTAATTTCCAGACTATGGAGCACACCTGAATATAAGCCACTCCCACACAAAAAAGTACATATATAGGCCGCACTTGTCTATAAGACGCAGGTGTCCATGTTGTAACAGGAGGTATTTACACAGAAAGATTTTTTAAACTTTTAATTGAATACATACAGTAAACATTGTTCCCTGCGATGGACTTGCGACCCGTCCAGGGTGTACCCCGCCCCTCGCACAGTGATTGCTGGACATGGGCACCAGCGACCCCCGTGACCCAAAATGGAACAAACGGGTAAAGATAATGGATGGATGGAGTAAACATTGTTTGCCTTAGATTACGTGCCTTAGCAGGGAGCTCATATCTTTGTGATTTTTGTAGGCAGGCGGGTGGAGACGGAGACACGTCTGTGTTGCACACTGTTTGTACCAACTGTTTTCAGGGGGAGGGGGGCTCAGGTAAACAAAGCGCTAACTGTAGTTTTTTTAGCTAGCGCATCTGTATTGTGCGCCGCTAGCGTAGCGCTACGTCAGTGCCGGCAGTTGTCGACGGGGGGTAGTTCGGTAGGCAGGGCGCTTGGTTCTGTTGACAAGTTTGGGTGCCGTGCTTGTATAATGGTAGGGGAAACAATACTGTGCAGTATTAGTGGATTAAAATAAATACAGTAGTCTCTCACTACTTCGCAGTTCGTTTATTGCGGACTTTATCACGGTAAGATTGGACATGACACACAAATGGCTGATTGATGGATGAGCCGCACGATCGGCATGGATTTTTTTTTTTTTTTAAATATATAAATTATTTAAAATTATTTGACACCTGCTGCACCTTTGTGTAGCCCACACTGCAGGATAAGCTTCCTCCTGCAGTCGATCAACTGTTCTCCATGCAGTGCGGAGAAGTGGGCGTGGCCAAGATCGCTTGCAGGTGGCAAAGAGCAGCTGAGGCAGGGAGCTGAAATCATGACATTCTGTCTTTTAGAGCATTCAGAGTTTAGAAACATTGCTTAGAATATTGCAAGAGTGTGGTAAGGGTTTAAAACTCCT